ATGCCGTTGTGGCGCGAAGCATATTTCCAAGTCAAAATGTACAAAGCACACCATTCTCGGACCACTTTTGGAGTTCAGATGTCGAAAAAGGTACGCCCTTGTGGCGCGAAGCACATTTCGAAGTGAAAATGTTAAAAACACCAGGGGTTCGGACCACTTTTGGAGGTTCAGATGTCGTTTCGCGTGGCAGGCGCCAGGGATTGTGCACCTCTTCAAAAGTGAGCAAAACGTGAGGGTTTTGTAGCATTTCCAAAAACAATGGCAGGCGTGGGACATTTGAAGAGGATCTGCAAAGATGAATTTCGCCTGGCAGGCGCAGTACAAGAGACATGTTCATCAGAGATGTTAGGAGTTCAGGGCGCTGATTTCCTGAGAGCGGATGCATTTTGGAGCATCAGATATGTCGATTTCCTAAGATGATTTTGCGTGACAGGTGCAGCACTTCGTATGACTTGCCATCTATGTATCATGGCAGGCGCAGTAATTTCGACAGGTGGAGTGGAAAAATCGCACAACGCATTGGTACGAGGCCGTCAGCGCTGCACTCAACTTTCCATTTTTGAAGGAAGTCTCGCAGAATTGCTTCGTTTTTTGATGTTGTCAAGTTTAAAAATTGAAGAAGTCTCGCACAATTGCTTCGTTTTGGATGTTCTCAAGTTCAAAAATTGAGGAAGTCTCGCAGAATTGCTTCGTATTGGATGTCGTCAACATTGAAAAATGAAGAAGTCTCGCAGAATTGCTTCGTTTTTGATGTTGTCATCTTTGAAAAATGAGGAAGTCACGCAGAATTGCTGCGTTTTTGATGTGGTCAACTTTGAAAAATGAAGAAGTCTCGCAGAATAGTTCGGTTTTCAAGCTTGCAGATAGACAGATAGATAGATAGACAGACAGACAGACCGAGAGATAGATAGATAAGTAGATAGATAGATAGATAGATAGATAGATAGATAGATAGATAGATAGATAGATAGATAGCTAGCTAGCTAGCTAGATAGATAGATAGATAGATAGATGGATCAGTAGGTAGGTAGGTAGATAGTCAGAGAAAGAAAGATAAACAGAAAGAAAAAGAGAGAACGAGAAAAAAGAGAGAGAGAGATCAAGCACCTTTCAGACCATCAGTGGCTTCGCTCTGCCATCCCTGATTCACAACAACCAACCTCTCCTATAGGTTTCCTATTTTTGAAACTTCCGCCACCGCCTCGTGCGGTACTACTGGTATACATATGTCATATGTATGTATCTAATGCACCAATCCAGAATGAGGGTCGGCAAAGCTGGGTCAAATGTTTTTCCTGGAATTGAATCCTTGGCCTCTTTGCGAGGTGGATGAGCTTCGGCTGCTGTGAGGTGCTTGGTGGGAAGGTGAGAAAACTGTAAATGGTTCCTTGAAACAGCTATAGTTTCCGATAGCCGCCGCTGCGTGGGCAAGTGTGGCAATTGTAAAGCTAATGCAGGCTTCCAAATATTGGAAATGGAAACTACCCAGGCTTCACCCAGTCATGTGGTGATTCACGACAACGTGACGAGTCGCGTGGCCTTGCGGACGATGCCTCATTCTAGAAATGGTTGCCACATCTAAGAAGGAAAGTAGTGACAAGGATTGGCAATACGACCCATCCATGTGTTGTAATTGAAACGTAGCGCTGGGAACAAGACGGGGGCTTTCTGGTTCGATGCAGCGGTTGGCTACCGCAAAGGTTAGACGACCTCAATACCTTGGGGTAGTCACAGCAGGCCTGGCGGCTTCCCAGTGGTTTTGATGGTTGCTACTGACTAGGGTAGTAGTTGGATTTACCCAGCAGTTCTGGGAATGAAAAATAGGGAACACAATGACTAACCTTTATTTTGGGGGATACCATATTTCTTAAGACAAACTCGCATGTTGGAAATGATTTAATGTGGGCTTGCGATTTGTTAACTGGAATTGGGTACCGATGGGCCCACAATTTTGATCAAACGCTAAGTTATCCTGTTTGAGAGTTCATCCTTTGGAGTCCGCCCCATAATATGTGCCATTGCCAAACTACATGGGATTAACGGGGTATGGTCATCCCACCAAAAAATTGGGAACCCCCAAGAGTTGGCCATGAGAATTGCCATTTTTCACGGTGGTATGACCATACCAGCTTCTTTTTTCGGAGGGTTGTGGGTTCGCATTTGATGTGGTCTGGTTTCGGTCATGAAATGTACAATATAGTTGAGTAGTCGGGTGCTGGCTACAGCCTGTAACCTTTGTAATCATTAAAAATACAAAAAATACAAACCTAAATGACACAAAAAAATGCAACACTCAGGGGGGCAAAATCATCAACAAAAGGGACATACAACACACATTGGTGGATTCGCGGTTTTGTTCTTTGAGGGCATGTCAAAAGAACGAAAAATACAAAAGGACAAAGTGCAATCTGTGAATTAATGGAAACATACAAAAAATACAAAATACAAAGTGCATTTTTGGAAGTAATGGAAAAATACCAAAAATACAAAGTGTATTTTTCGGTATTTTTGGTATTGTTTTTGTATTTGTTGGTATTTTTACAATCTATAAAAATACAAAAAAACAGACAAAATAAATACAAAAACATACGAACACAATTTCTCAAAAATGCAAAATACAATACAATACGAACCAAACAGTTCAAACATGAGCCAGGGAGCCAACCCCATGTTCATTTTGAAAAGCAAGAACCAACTTGCAAAATAAATGCAAAGCCAACCTGTCGTATTTTCTAAACCCAGCAATTCAGATTTTGTATATATATATATATTTTTGAGTTGTATTTTTTCTTGGTATTTTTAATTCTTTACAGAAGACCCTTCTGTAGCCAACGCAGGCTACTCAACAATATAGATTTGACATTAAGCTCGACGGCTCGTCCTTGTATCTAGGTGCTCAAGTCAACTGTAGATTGTAGTTTGGTTTGATAAGGTGTTAGAGTGGTTGTCAGTTGCTCATGAGGTGTCAAGGCTCTCATCCTGTCCCTTTCATTGGGTCCTCTGGTCTGCCCTGGCTTTTGCTTGGCTGGTTGTCTGGGTTCCTCTGTGCATGTCTTTTCTCTGGACCCCTGGCCTTGCTGTGGTTTTTCCGTTTGGATTTTGCCCATTTTGTCAGTTGTCAGCCTGTCCATCCCCATCAGCGATCCCGACTTGCCCGGTATCTTGAATGAGTAGCAGCTTGTCGGCCTCTGGGATCCGGAATCTAATTGGTCAGTTGGAAAGTTTGGAGGCAGCACAGATTCAGGCTGAAGGTGAACCAGTTCAGCAAAAGGTGGAAAGGGTTATACCAGAGGTGATCTCAGACAGAGTAGCAGGGTTTTTGGTGGTTGTTGGTTGGTGGTTGTTGGTTGGTGGTTGGTTGTTGGTTGTTGGTCGTTGGTGGTTGGTTCTTGGTCGTTGGTGGTTGGTTGGTGTTTGGTGGCTGGTGGTTAGTGGTTGGTTGTTGGTTGTTGGTTGTGTTGGTTGTGTTGATTGTGTTGGTTGTGTTGGTTGTGTTGGTCGTGTTGGTCGTGTTGGTTGTGTTGGTTGTGTTGGTTGTGTTGTTTGTTTGTTGTGTTTGTTGTGTTTGTTGTGTTTGTTGTGTTTGTTGTGTTTATTGTGTTTGTTGTGTTTGTTGTGTTTGTTGTGTTTGTTGTGTTTGTTGTCCTTCTTCTTCTTGTTGTTGTTGTTGTTGTTGTTGGTGTTGCTGTTGCTGTTGCTGTTGCTGGTGCTGCTGCTGCTGTTGTTGTTGCTGGTGTTGTTGTTGTTGTTGTGGTTGTGGTGGTTGTTGTTGTTGTTGTTGTTGTTGTTGTTGTTGTTGTTGTTGTTGTTGTTGTTGTTGTTGTTGTTGTTGTTGTTGTTGTTGTTATTGTTGTCATTGTCGTTGTTGTTGTAGTTGTTATGGTTGTTGTGGTTGTTGTGGTTGTTGTGGTTGTTGTGTGTTGTTGTGTGTTGTGGTGTGTTGTTGTGCGTTGTGGTGTGTTGTTGTGTGTTGTTGTGTGTTGTGTGTGTTGTGTGTGTTGTGTGTGTGTTGTGGTGTGTTGTGGTGTGTTGTTGTGTGTTGTTTGTGTTGTTGTGTGTGTTGTTGTGTGTTGTTGTGTGTTGTTGTTGTGTTGTTGTGTGTCGCGTGTGTCGCGTGTGTTGTTGTGTGTTGTTGTGTGTTGTGGTGTGTTGTTGTGTGTTGTTGTTGTGTGTGTGTGTGTTGTTGTGTGTTGTTGTTGTTGTTGTTGTTGTTGTTGTTGTTGTTGTTGTTGTTGTTGTTGTTGTTGTTGTTGTTGTTGTTGTTGTTGTTGGTGTTGGTGTTGGTGTTGGTGTTGTTGTTGTTGTTGGTGGTGGTGGTGGTGGTGTTAGTGTTGGTGGTGTTGGTGGTGTTGGTGGTGTTGTTGGTGTTGTTGGTGTTGTCGGTGCGGTTGGTGTTGTCGGTGTTGTCGGTGTTGTCGGTATTGTCGGTGTTGTCGGTGTTGTTGGTGTTGTTGGTGTTGTTGTCGCTGGTACATTTTGACTTCGAAATGTGCTTCGCGCCACAGCGGCGTGCACTTTTTCGACATCAAAACTTCCAAAACTGGTCCGAAAGTGAGGGGTTTTTAGCTTTTTCACTTACAAATGTGCTTCGCGCCACAACGGCGTGCACTTTTTCATCTCTCATCTGGCCAGATGGCTCCGCACCCGCCGCTTTAGCGAGCCTACTTTTCGACCCTCCGGAACCACAAATCAGTGGAAAAACACAGCGTTTCGCGACTTTCCTACCTTTTCGCGCACCTGTATCTTCTTACTTCTGACTCTTTCTCTTCTCTGATCTTCTCTCTTCTGCTCTTCTCTTCTCTCTGCCTCTGCCCATCTCTGCTTTTCATCTGCCCATATTGTCGGAAGTTTGACTTTTAAACTTCCTTCGAGAAGTAATTGACGAATTGAATGAATATCCATCAATATCCGATGTCCCAAAATAGAACTGAGAGACTTTTCTGATCATTCTTTGGGTCTTCGCCAGGGCAGAAGGTGTTCTGAATGGCACACATTTGCAGGTCTGTCGACATCAAACGCAGCACTCGCCAGACTTGCAGCAGCTGTTGTGGCCTGTTGATTTTTTCATAAAACTTTCATTTCCTTCTTTGTTAAATCTTTTTCTGGCAGGTATAGTATGCTATACAAAACATATTTGGTTTGGTTTCTTGGATGAGTTCACCATGCTTTTGAAAGCTGCCAACCTTCCAAGGTGCCTACTGCCTTGTCCACCCAGCCCATCATCAGTGAGATTCTTACTCGGGTCTTCCCAGGACCCAGGCTATCTTATGACCCTTTGGGGTTGCTTATGCAACTGGCTTGCTCAGCATCCGTGGATGGTAGGGCAGCCTTGTGAACGTTGGTGCCAGGCAGGACCACCTCCGCTATATGCATTGCTTCGTGCAATGCTTGTGGCCTTCTCCCAGTTTCCGGACTCCAGGAATTTATGCTCCTCAGCCATTGTGGCTTAGGCTGCGTTAGGAACCAGCAGTTCAAGCATTTCGACCCAGGCGCCTGCCTTGCTGCTTATGCTCTTTCATGATGTGCCTGCGCTTCCAGCAGAGGTGTGGATGCCTGCTCTCCCTCTCTTAGATTATTTGTCAGGGTTTTCCAAGCACGCGCTAGATTTGGTCACCAGATTGCGTTCATTGGCGAGTGGAGGATTCTGGACTGCACCACGCTTGGGAGGGCAGATGGCCAGTCCGCCAAATGGACAGATGCAGGCTCAGACCGCCCCAGGCACAACTTGGAGCCAATATGAACAAAACCAAACAGTAAGCCATCAATGTCACCAAACACAGGCAAGCACTGCACCATGCTTGGGAGGGCAGATGGCCAGTCTGCCAAATGGACAGATGCAGGCTCAGACCGCCCCAGGCACAACTTGGAGCCAATATGAACAAAACTAAACAGTAAGCCATCAAGGTCACCAAACACAGGCAAGCCAACCAGCTTTGCAAAAGCAATCGCAGGGGGCACAATTAAGGCTGCATGCAACCGTTCACAACACAAACAGAGTTTCACACATTACCCCAACAGACATCAAAAGCAGTGACGCACAGACAGCCCAGCATTGGGTTGCAGAATACAAACAACACCTGCTACATGAACAGTTTCATGCAGGCGCTCTTCCTCACTGACGCCTTTGTATGGCGCATCTATGACTTCACCCTGAAGCTGAAAGCCAAGCCATCCAAAATTGACGAGGAGGACTTCGAGTTCGGAAAGAATGTAGTGGATCTGCTTCAAAAGCTGCTTGCAAAGATGGCATTGACAAAACACAAGCATACGGACATTAGGGAAATCTTGCAGGCATTTCCCCCAGACTACCGCTCAGGAGAACAACAGGATGTGACTGAGACACTTCGTTTTGTGTTCGACAAACTTGGCGGAGACGACCAAGCCTTGCTGAGGGAAGTCTTTGCAGGCCAGCTGCAAGAGAAAATTCAGTGTCGGAAGTGTGGAAAGATCAAGGTTCGCGAGGAGACCTTTACAGATTTGGTACTGCCAGTGCCCACTGCAGAGCAGGCCAAAGAGAGTGGCATCGTACCAAAAGCTTCTTGAGGAGCTTTTGAAGAGCGAAGAGATGGATGACCCAAACAATCTGGTGGTATGTGAAATGCAGAGCGAAGACATGCGCAGTGAAGTGGAGCGAAATCACTCAGCCTCCGCAGCATCTTTGCCTATGCCTCAATCGCTTCACCTTTAACAAGCAGACCGACGACTTCACCAAGGAGAAGACGCCGGTGAAGATAGATGAGGGCTTGTGGATTGGCGGCTACGAATATGAGCTGTACCATACGATAATTCACAGCGGCAACGATGCCCACAGTAGATTGCGCATTTTACACCATGGATGACTCCCACATCAAAGAACCTGATGTCTCCCTGTTGGAAGGGAACCCTCCCGAGAAACTTTTGGATGACAACGCATATGTTCTTTTCCTCCGGTGCAAGCAGGTGCCACTTACCCCTGAAATTCGAATCCCCTTGTCTCTTGTAGACTATGTAAAGAAAGAGGACAAGAAGCAGTGAGTAGAGCATGGTGACTCGGGGTGTTTCACAGCCTCCATTTAGTTTTATCTTTGCCGAGGCTCCTTTGATACTTTGCAAAGAAGATCTTGAGATATATATCCATTCCTTATTCAACGGCAAAAAGTGCCATTTGGGAAGTCGCCGGGACAGTCCAAATGGTATACCCCAGGTGTCGGAGAGTATAAGTGGGGTAATAAGCCCGACAAATTGGATTTGACCAGCCTTTTGTGGTCAATGACTGGACAGATGGGGGAAGGGAAAGCAATGTTTTAGACCATGGATTCATGTTTTCACGGACATTTTCAGGCAAACCCAAAACCTATATTATGGATGTGATTGGAACATGTTTATATTCAGATGGTTCTACCATGTTAATTACAATTGAAAGATTGGAAGCGCTAGTTCGGGTTCAGACTCGTTTGGTTGCTCTTTCTCGGCGGACACACCTAGTCCTCTCACAGCAAGACAGACAGGTGGGCACTTTTTTTTCCCCTAAAAAGTGTCTTGCTTGGCACTGATGGGTTTGGAATCTTGATGCAAACCGCAAAGCCCAAGTTTGGTGTTTTGTCATGTCTTTGTTGCCCAATGGTGTGGTCCTGGCAGTCGCCCCAGGTGAACTTCCGAAAAGTCATTCTTCGTCTGGAGATGAAGGTGGTGGTGGCCACCAAACACCTGGAAACTCAGCGCAGATGGCAGGTGAGCCATAAAAAGAATCCGTTGATTTGTTGCTGTTACAATTCCTTAATTCTACCAGATTGAATAGAGGTACCTATTCACCAACCAGTAAAATGGGATGGGTCGCGATTTCGGAAACGGAGGCCTTTCTTGGATAGATCAGCATCGAGCTAGATGGATAAACATGGATAAACCATGGAGGAATCCATTCCCAGAAATCCATGATCAATTTGGATCAATTTGGATCAATTTGGATCATTCCATTTGTTCCAAAAAGTCAGCTATATATAGCTATATCCATATCCATAGCTCTTCGATGACTCAGCCGCCAAAAGTTGGGTCCCTGGGTCACGGGTCTTGGTGATACATGGTGATACATTTCCGTTGCCAAGGACCTGAACTACGACTGGACCTTGCGGCAGGGTGCCTTTGGCAGAGAGACCATGAAGATGGCTGAGGCCTTGGGAGCGACGAAATCGCCTCCCTTCGATGGCTTCATGCACATGAAGAGAGGTGGGGAAAAAGGATGGAGCTGGCGGGTTCTTTTAATCTATAAGTGATATATATAGATTATATAGCAACTTCCAGAAAGATAGAACAGTAAATCATCACTCTTCTCGTAGGTAGGTTCAGCTGTGACTCGTCAATTCCTGTTTGGAACCTGTTTAACATGTAGATCTGACTTTGCTTGTAGACCTTGATGACCCCATTTCTGCCTTCCTGGAATTCCACATAGCCAAATAACCATTTTACATTATGGCTCCACCAAGCAACTGTTTGTATCCGCCGAATTTTCTTGCCATGCTGAACAATTCAACAAATCTGTAAGTTGCCAGTTGTTGCTTGTCACGTCCTGGGTCTTTTGTGACGCTATTGGCATCTATGAACATATTCCCAATTATGCGTGTTGTCGTAAATTTGATGGCTGGCCCAGGTCATTTTGAATCCCAGTTGTGTTGGTGAAGCTCTTTTTCTATACAAATGAATGCACATATTCCGCATTTCGAGACATATTGTTTATTTAACAGCCTTCGGCATTCCACAGGCCCTCTGGCCTTTGGCCTACAGGCCCAAAGCAGAGGTTGTGTAAAGCTGGTTGGTGTAACAGGTGGTTTTTCGTAAAAGGCGGTTTGTGAAAAAGTTGGTTTGTGTAAAAGCTGGTTTGTGTAAAAGCTGATTTGTGTGAAACGGGTTTGTAAAGGTTGGTTGGTGCAAAACGTGGCGTATGTAAAAGCTTGTTGGTGCAAAAGTTAAAGTGGTTCTGCAAAAAGTGCTTGGTGTAAAAGAGCGTTTGTGTAAAAACTGGCTGGGGGTAAAAGTTCGTTTGTGTAGAACCTGGCGTGTGTAAGACCTTGGAGGTTAAATAGAAAAGAGTTAAGTTGGTAGATGCAAGCGGCATGGCTGTGAGAGTGCATGCGGAGAAGGCCGTGAGTGCAGAGAAAGTGTTCTTGGAGCATGAGGTGGCTCGGCAACAGCCATCCCACTTATAACTCCTTCCCCGGTCAAAACACACACGAGAAACCATGGTCGATGAAAAATATAACAAGGGGGGGTGGGGGGGTAGGTCAGCCAAACCAAAAATCCTCGAAGCAGCAACTATAGGCGAAGCTAAAGCTATCACAAGATGTATCACAAGAACATCTACAAAACACGCCGGCAGGCTGGTGGATTGTATATTTATATATCCAATTATATCTGACTATCCGCAGATTTCCACATTCTGTCATTCAAACTTCCAAGTTTCCATTTGATGTTGTATTGCAATGGGCTACGCTGAATTGGTTCACTCCAGTTTCAGACACACCCACATCATACTGTTGGTCAAATCATATATATATAATTATGTATAACTATATATATATGTATAATTATATATATATATATATCCAATTATTTCCCCATTATGGTTATAAACTACCATTTTTGCTGGTTGCATAGTGTTCAATCCCCCACAATACTTCATGAAACCACATGTAATATCTCCATTTTTACATCACCTTGTGCTGATTGCTCAGGTCTTCTCTTCGTGGGCTTGCCCTTGCGCTTGTATCTGGCCGACAGCCCCCACCTCTACGAGCTGCTTCGTCGCATGCGCCAGAGCTGTGGACTTGCGGAGCCTTCAGTTGCTTGGCCGAGTGGAAACTGATAGCGCGAATTTGAGTGTTGTTCATGGGAGATGGAACACGTTGAAGAATTCGGGCAATGCCCGGGAGTAGAAAAGTTCGACACTTAGAAAATTGATGAGTAAATAGAATCTTTGAGATCCTGGACATAGTTCTTTGGGAAACCCTATGATGGGCATGGTTTTTAGCAGGTTTTGTTACGAAAAAATATTTGTTTTAAAACACATTATAATAGATGGGAGGGGTTTCTTCGCCGCAAACGTGGGGATTGAAGCATCAAAGATCAAAGATGGGGGATTGGACCCTCCAAGGTGGGGGCAACCAATTCAGCTTGGCACAGTTTGGGAAACGAACCATCGGCAGATGAGCAGGATGATAACATTAATTTTTTCTGATGGGGATATGGGTTTGGCATATCATCGCCCCGACCCTAGAGTTGTGTTCCGTCCTGAGTGGAGGATTAAAACACCAACTTTCGATGGGTGTTGATGTCCAGTGATTACAGATGTTTTTTCGGGCGTGCTATCGAAAATAAAAGGTGTGTGGGCAGCACTTCACCATACTTCACCCTGAATATTTTGACTTACTACGTATGCATTTTCAGAAGTGGATTGCTGGATTGTGTCGTGGAAGACCTACCATAAGCTGTCCACATTCACAGTTGTCCTGAAATGACATGTAGAACCAGTGCTTGATTTTGTTGTACCTTGCCTCCTTTTGCGACATAAACATTGTTCAACACCCTTGTTGGTTGATGACTGTAGCTGTTAACCAGCCAGTATATTGGAATGACGTTGCGGGTCTTCAACCCTGCTGGTTTGGACCCCTTTTTTTTGATCGAGCTGAGGTGTCCTCCATCCGTGCCACGTTGGATGCCAATGGTCTTCCCTACTCCGTCCTGGTCTACGGCATCTTGGCGGCCTTGCAAGCCTTGCACGCCGCGCGGCTCACTGGGACCCGAGCTGGAACAGGCTGGGGGCCCAGCAAGCCCTGAGGATGGGGACCGGATGTGGAGGGGTCAGGATGGATCAACATGGGTCAACTCATTGGATGACTTGGAAGGATTGCCAGGAAAGTTTTGGTACTGTAGACCTCAAAATCATTGTGTTTTGTAATGATAATTGCGCACGAAAACCGAAGCCATGTGCTCAGGTAGCATTTGGCGTTGATTTTCTCACCGCCAGCACCTACAACCCAGTGAGATCCTAAATGATCATATGAGTATGTGTCAAAATTGGGAATCTACAGTACGTCTTGGGGCTGTAAAGTTGAAAAACTTGACGATATTTGACGATCAGACAACCAAGTCCCGGCACCCTATTGGATGATTCGAGTACTTGGCAATTTGGTCTGCTCCAATCTACCAAGTATCCCATGATATGTGTATATATAATTATGTATATATACATATACGTATATATATATATATATCCAACAGTTAACTACTGGATAGTTTGTATAATAGGATCATGCTTGGATATATTATTGGATATATGATAGTTTATATCACATTAATATCCAAATTAAGATAGTTGGACCGTCCCCACATCGCAGGCGCTCAAGGCTTAGATGCGTTCTGTGCCACCGCCCGGCGTGATGGAGATGGCTTCGAAGTCAAGGTGGAAGGGGAGTTGGGGGTATGAACTGAACGAACTTCCTAAGCAAAACTTAAATCACTTAAGTCGTTATATTTCGGATTGTTTAGGTGGATTATACGGTAGTAGTCCCTGCCAGTCTATCCCCCATTATCAGTATTCTTGATGTGGTTTGAAGTCTGAAGAGTCAGAGTTTAATCATGGCTTGATTCTGCCAGGGGGAGTGACGTGGACTATGGTGACAAAGGGTTCCAAGTAGACGCCATGATGTCTAGAAAGTGGTGCCAAATGGGATCACATGGGATGTGTTGGCGATCTAGTCGCAGTTCATACGGATTGGTGCTCGCACAGATTGGGCCTGCGGGGTACGAAATTTGTAGCAAACACCTACAATGGGGGGCCCTGCATTTGGGACCTCTACTGAATGTTTCTAGATGAATGCCTTGCCCTGGAAACCTCAAAAGAACCTGCATACCACCCACATCGCACCACTTTCGAAAGAATTGCATTTGGGGATCTGGGAAGTCTTGGGTCTTCAGAGGTGATTTCGCCAGAAGGAATGACAGCAGATATGTTCTCTCCACCCATCCATTGCCATATCGGGCCATATCTCTACTTTTCCGGCTTAGCATGCCTGGTTCATCCCGCAATGTCCAAAACGCTTTCAGACATATTGGGTCTCCTTGAAACTGGGCTATTGGCCAGTTGGAGGGTATATCCCAATTTTGATCATTACAGAATAGCTGAACCATGAAATTCTGGGGCGCCTTATCTTCAGACAAAAACATGGATCATTGCTGCAGGAGGTGGACCAAAACTGCTCCTTGATCTTCCGTGGCATTTGGGTCCCACAACGCATCGACGAGTACAGGGCCACCTATACCTGGACCTTCAACTCCTTTTCTCGAAGTGTCCAAGGAGTCACTTGCCGAAGTTGAGACGTGGTATTTTCCACTAGGTGAAAGGCACCGAAGTCTACGTTTTTCTGTTCTTTCTATTTCTCAGCATCAGGTGATGTGGGTCTTGGACTTTTATGCAGTGGAACCCACTGGCAACGAAGAGGTCGCCCGATTGGCTTGGGAGGAGCAACTCGGCTGGGCTGGGCTTTGAGTGGGATTCTGTGAGCCATGGCAGCCGCATTCCATGACTTGATGAGACAGTCTCACCTGTTTTCAGCTGCAGAGTTCATGAACACTGGACATGGCAACTGCCATTGATGTGCTGTGGCCTTTAAGCATCCCTAGGCCCTATGCCATTCCCAAATTTGATGAAGGGAAAATCTGTAGGAAAGCCAACAGCCCTAGATCATAAATGGCAAAAACTGGTTTGCTGGTTTCCTGCAGCATTGCCCTTAAACCAACCCAGTGATTCCAAGGTCACACATTTTGCTCTATGTTGCGCGGTTTCATGCCACGAGCAGCGTTTGGGCGTTCCCGGTTCAGTTTTTCAATTCGGGAATCGCTGCAGATGTGGAGAAGGTGCGGTGGTTGGATGAGGTGCCTTCATCTCACCCAAGAGAGTGGAAAACCACCAGCTAACAACCTGAACTAGTTAATGCCAGGATTAAAACGGGAGCTACTTGATGTCCTATTGAATCGCGACCTATTAGGTTTTTAAAGTCGAATTACTACAAGTACAGTCTATCTCCTTTGCAAATTTTGGATGCGGACTTGCCATCTGTGACATGCCCCAAAAGGTCCGAGCTTTGCTTCAAACATGGTCGTTGGAGAACTTCATCCAATGGTGAATTTTCAAACCCATGTGCCAACTTGCTATTGTTGACAACCTGCAACAAACCAGACCAGGCAGATTTTTGACGGGCGTGCCATTTTGCCAATCCTGCTGTTGATGCTATGAAATTTGTGGTTTTCTGGGCAGGGAAATTTAGAAATGATTTCGAGAAATTGTGGCCATGTTACTTCTGTAGTCAGTTTAGGGAGTGTGAGCCGCCTGTGTGGCTGGCATTCCCACATATCAAAATGTAATGACTCCTAATCAGCGGCAAGAAAGTCTGGCTGCCGAAGTAGGAGTTGGTGGTCCTTCCCTTTGTCGAGTATGAGTTTGAGAAGCTTGGCATTTTGAGCTTGCCGACTGTGCGATGTGATTTGAGGCATGAACTTTTTTGTGACTTATTTGACCATCACAAGCTTCGAGGATCTTCGAGCTAATTCAGATTCGTGGTGCCCCATTCGTGATGCTGCCACTGTCCCTTGTCATCCTTGGGTCCACAAGTTACAGCCTCCGAGGAAGATCCAAGGGACGATGTACGAGATCCGCAGCAGCATGTCTTCTGCCATGAAGCGTTCAGCCTTGGCGCAGATGGAGAGCAGATGGGGTGTGTCCTTTGCAGATCCTGGGATGAAAAAAATCTGCAGGAACCAGTTGACACCATGTTTCGAGGGAAGCCATGAGTTTTGTTACTGTGGAAATATCAGAAACTGATATAAACTGGCAGATTACTACACTAACACTGTTTCTCAAGGAATGCTCGATGGAGCTTCGCATGGTTCATCACTAGAGATCATCATGGGAATTCTTACCAGTGGAGCCAAGCCGCAAGAGGTCCTTTTTCAGCGGTAGCCATGGCGGGTCGATGGGACCTTGCAGGAAGATGATACTGGCAAATCCATGATGGGCAAAAATTTGTGACGTTATAACTATATCAACATATATCAACTATATCCATGCAAACCCTATATTTTATCCGTGTTTGTGTCTTTGGGAACAGCGGGGGAACAAGATTTTTCTGGAGATGATGGATGGTCAGAAGGGGCTGCAGACGGCTGGATGGGCAAGGTTATGTTAGAGGATAACAACAAGTGCTGTCAGTGGGCAATGAATCACTTGAATGACAGACTATGATTCATGGGGTCTGAATGGGTCTGATACATCAGTGTGGGATATCCATGGATATCCCATTTTTGGACAAATCCTGCAAGACTTGGGGCACTGATTCTCCCAGGAACAAGCACCGCTTTTGCTGGAGCTACTGGAGGGAGGCGCAAGCCCAGGCCGTCAAGATGGGTTTCGGTTAAGGTTCTTGGACCCCGAAGTTGGCCTATTTCTATCTATTTCTATGGTGTATCTGCAGCAACATTTCACCCCTCTGTTTGGATCGCCACATTTTGGTGTTTTCCAACGGCGGAATGGATCAGTCACAGGCTGCAAAGAGTACGGCGGCCTCAATCGCAAACTGAAAGTCTCAGTGCGCTTTGTGAAAGCCATCAAGCCGTGCAAACCCATCTTGAAGCTCATGAAACTCAGCTTTGGGAAGGGCATGGTTTCGAGCATGGTGATGCCGCGGAGAGTCAGCTGTTTTTTTGGATGTTGATTTGTGGTTGGTCATAGCCTTTAGAGAAACCAGTGCTACTGTATAGTACCACCTCCAGAATCAGTCATGTATCCAAGACAAGAATGGGTGTGTCTGAAACTGACACGGCTTTTTACTAGGGCACATGATGAGAAACCCTTGGTTTAGGGTACCCTATTTTGCGAAAAAAACACATGTCGTAGGCTTCTTGCCTCTGCCGGTTGCTGCTTTGCCACTAGAACTTACGGATGTCGTGTTGAGTCTTGTGTCCTTTCAGTTGTACAACTGGTTTTACCAGGGTGAGAGCAAGAAATTCTGAAAAATCAACTCTCACAAGAACTGTAAGGAACTGTTTTGAAGTCCCACGAACTCATAGTTTTGACAACCCTGGTCAAAAATCCTCTTGGGCATGCTTTTGCTGAGGAGTTTGGCCAACTCTGCACCGGAAGAGCTTCTGTTGGCCTTTCCACCAAAAGACCCTGAGGTGGGACAGTTGTATCAGTGGGATAACTGTGGACTGCAGATCGGGTACTCGAGCTGTACGCAGGCTGCCAAAGATGCCAAGAGCATCTTTGGAGCTGGCTATGCTGAGCTCAACCAGATGGTGGGAAGCCCCGGGGTCGCTCTGTGCCTCAAGCTGTTCTTCCAAGCTGGATTTTTCATGATTTTTAGGCTATGGCCCCAAAATTCAGGAAATAAAGGATGATAAAGGATGAACATGCAGTTGCATGCAATTGCAAGTCGCAGGATATTTTTGGAATGGTGACCTCACGGTGGCATCATTTCACAGCCGCAATAGACATAGTCACATTGTCGTTACCATGTGCTCGTAGCGTCCGTAGAAAAGAAAGCAGGCTTGGCTGAGTAAATGAAACATTCAAAACTGCCCCTACAAACCAAACATCTACATACAAAACTTACAAAACTTCAATCATTATGACAATTATGAGCCATACGTAGAATCTCTTTTTGCTGGTCATGTCACTCTTCATCGCTGCTTAGTTGGTTGAATCATTATTGCGTAAATATTGTTGACTCATTTCGGCTCACTCTATTCTTTGCATGGTTTCTAAATTGTCACACTCAGATTATCGCGGCGAATATGGAGCAACGTGCCATTGCCACTGAGGTTGACCCTGGCAATCTGAAGCCCCTGGGCACCTTCGTCCCAGGCCGGAAATCCAAGAGCTGTAGCTTTCATCGCTTTCCCTTGGCCTCCACAAATGAATCAGCTGTCCAGTGTTCTTTTGAGAGCAAGGCAAGAATCATGTTCTGCCCCAAGGGCACTTATTGTGATAGCATTTTATTTTGGAGCTGGTGTCAACTTGGCTTCGTTGGTTTCAGACATTCCAGGCCAGAAGATTGCAGCAGGCGCCTTGGAGCCCAAGGGGCCGGTACACTGTTGAAACCACCAACCTATAGCCTGTAGCATCCTATAGCCATAGCAAAGTGAAAACCCTTTAGCAGATTTTGAATGCTTTCATTTCCAGGCGAGATTGGCATTCTGGACCCGTTATTAGAGCCTCAAGCACCGGGTTTTGCCATGGCTGTGTGCTTAGTTGCTTTGCAAGTCGAACACTTATACGGAGACCATTTTCTGAGGATTTCTCAAGGGATTTCCGTCAGGATCGACTTCAGGCAACTCTGAGGGCTCTGTTCTACAATGTTTCTACGGCAATCAGCAAAAGGCTCTAAATGTTGTTTTTCCCACACAGCTTGTGTGGGGTTCTTGTTTTTGATCTGTATCCCGGGCTTTTCTCCTCCCTCCTCCCCGCCGATCCAAAACAAACGACGCAGGCACAAGGCTGCCAAGGACGGGTTCCAATCTGCGAATTTCAGCAAAGGACCACACCATGGCAAACTTAACAGACAATCACTTCACACACACACACCGTCGTTTTGCGTGGCAGGCGTGGTACACATGGCACTGGGTGGCGCACTTGGTGACATCCACCCTCGTTTCACGTGGCAGGCGCACAAAACTCGCATCCACCGTCGTTTTGCGTGGCAGGCGTGGCACTCATGGTACTGGGTGGCGCGCTTGGTCCGGATTTGTCGCCTGTGACGCCGCGGCACTTTGCGTGGCAGGCGTGGCACTTGGTGACATCCACCTTCGTTTCACATGGCAGGCGTGGCCACAAAAAGTCGCATCCACCGTCGTTTTGCGTGGCAGACGTGGCACTCATGGTACTGGGTGGCCCGCTTGGTCCGGATTTGTCGCCTGTGACGCCGTGGCACTTTGCGTGGCAGGCGTGGCACTTGGTGACATCCACTCTCGTTTCACATGGCAGACGTGGCACAAAACTCGCATCCACCGTCGTTTTGCGTGGCAGGCGTGACACTCATGGCTTGGTCCGGATTTGTCGCCTGTGACGCCGCGGCACTTTGCGTGGCAGGCGTGGCACTTGGTGACATCCGCCTTCGTTTCACGTGGCAGGCGTGGCACAAGCTCGCATCCACCGTCGTTTTGCGTGGCAGGCGTGGCACTCATGGTACTGGCTGGCGCGCTTGGTCCGGATTTGTCGCCTGTGACGCCGCGGCACTTTGCGTGGCAGGCGTGGCACTTGGTGACATCCACCCTCGTTTCACGTGGCAGGCATGGCACAAAACTCGCATCCACCGTCGTTTTGAGTGGCAGGCGTGGCACTCATGGTACTGGGTGGCGCGCTTGGTCCGGATTTGTCGCCTGTGACGCCGCGGCACTTTGCGTGGCAGGCGTGGCACTTGGTGGCATCCACCTTCGTTTCACGTGGCAGGCGCACAAAACTCGCATCCACCGTCGTTTTGCGTGGCAGGCGTGGCACTCATGGTACTGGGTGGCGCGCTTGGTCCGGATTTGTCGCGGCACTTTGCGTGGCAGGCGTGGCACTTGGTGACATCCATCCTCGTTTCACGTGGCACGCGTGGCACAAAACTCGCATCCACCGTCGTTTTGCGTGGCAGGCGTGGCACTCATGGTACTGGGTGGCGCGCTTGGTCCGGATTTGTCGCCTGTGACGCCGCGGCACTTTGCGTGGCAGGCTTGGCACTTGGTGCCATCCACCTTCGTTTCACGTGGCAGGCGTGGCACAAACTCGCATCCACCGTCGTTTTGCGTGGCAGGCGTGGCACTCATGGTACTGGGTGGCGCGCTTGGTCCGGATTTGTCGCCTGTGACGCCGCGGCACTTTGCGTGGCGGGCGTGGCACTTGGTGACATCCGCCTTCGTTTCACGTGGCAGGCGTGGCACAAACTCGCATCCACCGTCGTTTTGCGTGGCAGGCGTGGCACTCATGGTACTGGCTGGCGCGCTTGGGCCGGATTTGTCGCCTGTGACGCCGCGGCACTTTGCGTGGCAGGCGTGGCACTTGGTGACATCCGCCTTCGTTTCACGTGGCAGGCGTGGCACAAACTCCCATCCACCGTCGTTTTGCGTGGCAGGCGTGGCACTCATGGTACTGGGTGGCGCGCTTGGTCCGGATTTGTCGCCTGTGACGCCGCGGCACTTTGCGTGGCAGCCGTGGCACTTGGTGGCATCCACCTTCGTTTCACGTGGCAGGCGCACAAAACTCGCATCCACCGTCGTTTTGCGTGGCAGGCGTGGCACTCATGGTACTGGGTGGCGCGCTTGGTCCGGATTTGTCGCCTGTGACGCCGCGGCACTTTGCGTGGCAGGCGTGGCACTTGGTGACATCCACCTTCGTTTCACGTGGCAGGCGTGGCACAAACTCGCATCCACCGTCATTTTGCGTGGCAGGCGTGGCACTCATGGTACTGGGTGGCGCGCTTGGTCCGGATTTGTCGCCTGTGACGCCGCGGCACTTTGCGTGGCAGGCGTGGCACTTGGTGGCATCCACCCTCGTTTCACGTGGCAGGCGTGGCACAAAACTCGCATCCACCGTCGTTTTGCGTGGCAGGCGTGGCACTCATGGTACTGGGTGGCGCGCTTGGTCCGGATTTGTCGCCTGTGACGCCGCGGCACTTTGCGTGGCAGGCGTGGCACTTGGTGACATCCACCCTCGTTTCACGTGGCAGGCGTGGCACAAACCTCGCATCCACCGTCGTTTTGCGTGGCAGGCGTGGCACTCATGGTACTGGGTGGCGCGCTTGGTCCGGATTTGTCGCCTGTGACGCCGCGGCACTTTGCGTGGCAGGCGTGGCACTTGGTGACGTCCACCTTGATTACATGCAAGGTCGTTTTGCGTGGCAGGCGCCTCACTGATGGCACTTGGTGACATATTATACACCTTGATTTCACGTGGCACGCGGTGGGCACAATCTCACGTCCATGACGCCAGCAGTTGATCATGACTATTTACCAGGTATGATTACCAGCCACAGGGCATGCAGAAAGAGTTCGCAAAATTTGCGGCTTCGCCCGAAAGAGTGCAGAACATTACTTTGGTCAGCGGAAGTATGGAGAGCACACCATCGCTTTGATAGAGGGCTCTGCCATAAAAGCTCTTTCGGGAAGCAACGTCCGGGAAAAAACCATCAGAGCCTGGTGGAACTCGAAGAAGGCGAGTGAGACACGTCGTGAGACCTAGTGTTCAGCACACACCCTTGGATCCCACAAAGAATTTCCGTGGTAAGCATATCTTGTTTCTTTTCTGGCCTTCAGTGACAAGTCACTATCTAGTGGAAGAAACACCACCAGACGCGCAACTTTGTCACACACATACACATACATACATTCATACATACATACATACATACATACATACGTACGTATGTACATACAGACATACATACGTACGTACGTACGTACATACATATATATATATTACATACATACGTACATGCATACTATCTTTTCACATACTTTCACACACAGTCTTTCACCACCTCCTTTGTCTTTCCTTCCTTCTCCGACCCCGCTACAACCTTTGAAACTCATTATTGGAAGAAGTTGACTTGTGGGGTTATCCGGTCCTTTATTTTTTTCCATGGCACAAATGGCAACGCCTGATTTGTGGCCAGTATTGAGGTGATAGCAAGCGCTTGAGGCACCCCGTCTTTCTGGGACGGTTGCCAACACTCAAATGGGATCTGCATAGATATGGGGATGGGTCAAAAACCTATGATTACCATTTGACTAGGGGAAGACACATCCAGGAATTACTCTTGCTTCAGCAAGGGAAGGGGCAGGTCTGAGTCCAACACAGTGATTTTTGACTCGAAACCTGCCCCCCCCTCCCACCCCCTTCTAAGCTCCCGGGGCATTTTGAAGCGGTGTTGGAAGCAGATGGTCACGGGCTCACATCCTGCCAGGTCTCTAGGCAATCTGTATTCAGCATATCAAAATCCCATCATGTTTCCAGGCTCATATGAACCTTAGCTTTCGTTCACTCCTCCCTTGGGCCTCAAGTAGGATTTTGCATGATCCCCATTCATGGACACCCCCATATGTTTTTTTTTCCGCTAGTGCTGGACCGCCCAGAGGTCAGCTTTGCGATCGAACTGGGGCCACTTGCAGCTCCAAGGGCCACCCGGTTCCGTCGCGTGCCATCCTTGGAACTTGGGGTGGCCGTGGATCCCACGTGGAAAGAGCTGTTGATCTTGGTCGATTGATCATCTATTGTTGATTATTGCTTGATTTGATTATCTTTTTTGGTGTTTGTTATGGATCTTCGGTGCTGTCTCATGAACTTCCGGAACTGAAATGGTGAGCCGGAAAGAATTTTCCCAAGTGATTTCTGCAAAGGTTGCATGATTTTTTACTTCCTC